CCCAGCCCTGGAGGCACACAGGGAGTCCATGAAGCCGTCGCTTTGCCAGGTGAAGCTCATGGCACAGAGGACGGCAGCAGCCAAGGCCGTGGCCACGGCCCGCCATGGTGAGCAGGTCTGACGCGCAGCCCTGCGGGGGACAGGCTCAGAGGCCGCTCTGAGAAAACCCAGGTGAGACCCCCTCTGAGCCCACACCCCCAGGATGGGCCGCTCTCCGACCCGCCCCCCACCCTGTGCTGGCCCCGGAAACCCTCCCAGCCGCCAGGAAAAGAGCTCACAGCATCAAGACCCAACAGCAAGACGGCAGAGGAAAAGCGGAGCTGCGGAGGGCCCCGGGGAAGGCTGGGCAGGAGGCCGGACTCACGGTGCACTTGCGCCCCCGCTTCTCATGGACGATGGTCCCAGCTCCTGCTGCGAACGCCTGCGAGACAGACCCCAAGAGACCCCAGCTACTCTCCTGCAGGACGGCCCGACACCGCACCCACAGGCCCTGCACCGTCAGCTCAAGGGGCCCAGCGACAGACCACCTTGCCGGTGGACATGCCAGCGTGGCCGCCCACCTTTCCCAGCCTGGCCCTTTGTGGGGAGCACAGGGGGTGTGGTCCTGCCACCCCCTAAGGCAGCTTCCTGAAGGCAAGGGCCTTTGGCCTCCAGGTCCTCAAACTCCTGACCCCAGCTGCGAGGAACCTCCCCTTGCCCGTCCCCACGCCCCCCTCAGCCCCGCCGGTCCTTACCACCGCCCCTGCCCAGAAGGCACAGCCCGTGGCGCGCAGCTGGATCCAGGGCCCGATGTAGAGGAAGCCCCCCAGGATGCAGCTCACCGCGCCCAGCAGCACCTGCGTCACCTGCAAGATGGAGGAAAAGTCAGATCCAGCTCTGAGCCCGGGGCCCCCAGCAGCCGCCCCACTCCCACCAAGTGGCGTTTTTCTTCCCCTTCATCTCTGATTCCGGAAGTTTCTCTCCCCTTTACACCCACGAAGCAGCAGGCCCTGGCTCCCGCCGTGCCCCGAGGTGGCTCACATCTGTCCTTCGTCACTTATTACACTTGGTCGTGCGCCTGCTGACCCCGCCTCCCCCTCGCTCACCCCAGGACGCGCCACAGAAGAGTGTGGTGGGTGACGGTCCCCAGAGGCCAGCCGTTCACGGTCCACTCACCTTTCAGGCCGAGAGCACACTTTTGGGGGGCATGGTGGTAGCACAGGGCTAGTTCCACATCCCATGCACCCCACAACGGGCACCTTAGCTGGACCGACAGCCCTTGGCAGCCAGCATCTGTCTGACAGGCCCCCAGCCAATCCTGCACCTCCTTTCCTTCTCAGAGTGTCCCCAATAAACTTCTGACACCCCGAACCCCGAGTCAGCACTGGCCTTCTGGAGAGCAAGACTGTCCCAGCCCCTCTGGCATCACAGCCTGCCTGTGCCGCCCACCTCAGATCATCACACCCGAGCTGCATACCCTGCACCCCGAGTCCACTCACCCCTGCGTCCTGGAGCCCCATCCAGAGGGTCTGGACTCCTCTGCTCAGCACCCCCGAGACCCCTCCCCCAGACCCACCGGGCTCTGAGGCAGCCTCCCGGGGCTGGGAGGCCAGGCCCAGCCCAGGATCCGCCTCCTGCCGGAGCTGACTCCAGCCTGGCCACTCGGGGCTCCCGGCCCCGGGGCCCGTCCAATCCCACCAGCCTGGGCCACGCTCCCTGCGCTGACCACTGGCCCTTGCTTCCCGCTTCTTTGCTGCCTCCCCAGCCTCTCATCCTGCCGTCTTGTACTCCCTTTCACCTCATCTGTGTAAAGCCACCCCCTCCCCACCCCAGATGCAGAAGCTGTCACCTGCAGGACGCTGCGGGTCTGCCTGGGCCTCGATGTAGTGGCCCGGTCCCTCCGAAGGATGCCCAGGACTTTTAGGTTACGCCCCTGGGGTTTTCTCTGTGGTTTCCCCAAAAGTGCCTGTCACAGGCCCTGCAGACCCTCAGTACCCCCAACCTCCAGGGGACCTGCCACCCACCCCCTCCTCTGACCGGAACCCCTCCTTCCCCAAAGACGAGGCCCATGGCTGCTCCCCATCCTGGGGATGCGCTCCCCAAACCTTCTTTCAAAAACAAGTAGGGCTGTAAGTCGGGAGTCCTGAGGATTCCACCCACTACCCCTTTTTTGCCTCCGAGGGAAGGCGCGTCCCCACCGGCTATGTGCCCTCTGCTGCCCACTCTTACCCCCAGGGCCAGCTGCCTGGAGCGGATGCCGGCCTTGGAAGGGCCGCTGTCCGTGGGCCGAGAGAAGTACTCCTTCAGGGAGCTCCCCGCCTTCAGCAGCTGAGCCAGGGCCGACTCCTGGTGGATGTGGATGTTGATGTGGGTCGGCTGGGACAGCGTCGAGGTCACCTCCACCCCGTTCACGGTCACCGTGTTCTGCTCCATCCCGCCTGCTGGAGCGAGAGTGCACAGAGGTGAGGCCGGCAGGGCGGGCAGGGTGAAAGCACAGACACTGCAGGGCTGAGGGAGAGAGAGCAGTCTCCCCAGCACGCTGCTCAGGGCTGCCCGCACCGGCATCACGTGACTCGCCTGGGCTGGAATCCCGACCCCCTCGAGCATCTCCCTCCATATATCCCCTCAGGCTCCGCCCAGGAGGGCCTGACACCATCTGGACTCACATTGGACCAAGAAGGAGTCTGTTTTCAAATGCTCCCCAGAGCAAAAATGGAATTCTGGGAATTAGACGGCCCCTCCCCCGTGCTGCAGGTGGTTCTAGGGAGCCCCACCCGCCCCGCAGGTGTGAGAGGCTAGTCTAGACCCCAACATCTCCTCACTTCACCACCCCTTCGGTTATTTTTTTGCCTTCTCTCTGGCTGTAGCTGGACTACGTCTCCAGGGCACTTCAGCACCCCTGGCCTCGCACCAAAACAATCCCCTCCATGCGGTCCCTGTGGGTGGTGTCCCTGGAAGACCCTGAGGGAGCAGAGTCATCGTCCCAGTGCCTGTGTGCTCCCCGAGCTCTCGTGCTTCCTGCCTGGCCTCCTCTGAGGTGAGAAGGACAGACGTGCGTCCGGCATGGTGCTGAGCAGCGGCTTGCTCACTGCCACACACAAGCCCAGCTCCAGGCCATCTCCACCCCCTGCACCCAGATCAGAGCCGATGAAGACTCCGACTCCAGGCTCGGGGCCCATCCCGCTGGCCTGGACGCTGTCCCCTGCCCAGCTGCGCCCACTGTCCCTGGAGCTACAGATGGAGAATCC